TTAAGTGTTATTTAGAATGTTTTAAGTAAGTATATTTTTTTATTTTTTATAAAAAAATGTATAGAAAAATAAAAAGGAGATGTTGATTGAAGTGACTCAAAAAAGATAAAAAGTATGGACTTATTTAGTCTTCCCAAACAAGACCTTAATAGATGTAGCTCCCATTCATTTTAAGGGATTTATTTGAGATGATTTAAATAAATACATTTTTTTACTTTTTATAAAAAGATATGTAAAAAAATAGAGAGATTATATAACTTAAAAAAAATAAAAAAATATACTTATATAACACACCACAAACAAACTTTTAAAATTTGACTTCTCACTAGATGGAGAGAAGCATAGTATGATCTAATTAGGAAATTTCACTCTACAATTTAAGTTTTAAATTTTGTTAGATCTCGTGTATAAGTCATTCATAAAGAAGGAAGAAAAAAGTATTCTAAGGCCAAGTTTGGGAACACCCCAAAAAGCCAAAAAGTCAAAAAGTTACTCAAAAAGTTAAAAAGTTATCACTATTCACCAAAAGTCAACAATTACGGCTGCACAACTCCCAATTCTAATTTTCTCCTACAAATCAATTTTTACAATTTTTTATTACACATTTTTCCATAAAAAGTCAAAAAGTTAACCCAAACATTCATATTTTCAACCTCAACTTTTTAGTCTAAAAAGACAAAAAGTGCACTTATTTAGTCTTCCCAAACTTGTAGTCAAAAAAACTAAAGAAAAAATCACCATGTTTAGTGAATTTTAAAATATTTTACACAATTTTTTTTAAAATTTTTTAAATATACCTAATTTAAATACACATAAAATGTATAATTTTTGTATTTTTTTTATAAAAAATTCACCAAATACAAAAATATATAAAAATTCAATAAATTTTCGTATTTGATTAATGAATTGTTTAAAGATTTCTATATAATTTTTTTTACTTTTTTAAGTATATTAAGATTAAGTGACTCTAAATTTTTTTTTAAAAAAATGATTAAAATATTCTAAAAAATCATTAAAAATATAAAAATATGAACTAAAACTCAAAAAAATATTTTTGGAATTGAAGACCGAACAGAATGAATATAATTATGAGATCAATCAGATTTTATAAATGTTCTACACAATAGAAACTTACGAGATAAATGATTCAGATCAATGAAATTAGACCCATGGTGGGACAACATTGGACTTTTTTTCGATCAGCCAACATTGAACTTGACTTCTTTCCAACAAGAAAAAAAAAAAATCCCTAATTTTACACTGTAGATTCAAATTCAAAAGGAAAAAAAAATGTAAACGCAACATTTTTCTTTTGCAATTTCTCTATCATGATTTTTCAACTTTTATTTATTTATTTATTTTTTTATCACAACAAGATATGTTAGTAAAGATCATAATCTAACATATTAAGGCCTCGTTTGGGAACATGCTATTTTAATAATTTTTTGACTTTTTAACTAAAATATGAAGTAAAAAAAATTAGTATTTTTGAAATGACTTTTCGATTTTTTATGAAAAGATGTGCAAAAAATAGAGAAAAAAAAAGAATCTTCAACTTTTTGGTATAAGTTATAGACTTTTTGATTTTTTAAATAATTTTTTGACTTTTAGGCTAAAACATGTGTATCCTGAACGAGGCCTTAGACCTAAAATAAACTGATAATAAAATCACACATCTTAAAATGGCGTCGTTTTACTTTTAACTGAGCATTTTTATTCAAGACCAAAAATTAGACTCACTTTTCAAGTCCAATAATGTGGCAATCAATTATAAGATATTAGAGATAACACTCAGTGTGTTTGGTTTGAGTTTTCTGAATTAAGTTTTTTGAAAATTGAATTTTTTGGTTTTCGTATTCTTTTGTTTTTAGTTAATATTTTTTAAATTTTAAACAATTTTTTTTTAGATGCACCTTAGTTAGATGTATCTAAAAAGTAAAAAAATTGTAAAAAATATTTTAAAAAATTAATAAATACATAAAAATACAAAAAAGTACTGAATTCTTGTATTTTTTTTTTTATATTTTTGGTATTTAGTGAATTTTTAAAAGATTTTTTTTACAATTTTTTTATTTTTTAGGTGTATTTATGTTAGGTGTGTCTAAAAAGTAAAAAAAAATTTGTTTAAAATATTAAAAAAATTCAGTAAAAACAAAAAAATACGAAAAATAAGAAAGTAGAATTTTCTAAAAGTGTGTCTGTCAATGTCATGGTACGGAATCTCAAAAAATATTATTATTCTAAGATTTTTATACAAAAAAATCTTTTATCAAAAATGTAAGCGACAGTTTTTTTTTTTGAAAACTGAAAAGCATTTGGATGAATTTTTTATTTAAAGAATGACAAACCAACCAAACAGCTTGAAATTCTTTATAAAATTTGTGTATGTATCTTCTTCTTTTTGTTTAAATTTGCATAGTTGTATGGCATTAGTATGTAATAGCACTTTTTCCCAAGTACTTAATTTAAAAATAAATAAATAGAAAATCTCAGTCAAAGCCAAATTAAACTCCCAAACCAAGATGAAACCGACTACGAGGAGTGAGGAGTTTCCGACTAAACAAAGAAAGTAGTATGAAATAAAGCACTCACTTCACACCTACGAAACACAAGTCCAAGCTTAAAGCCATGTAGCCTCCACTACTATAAGAAAATGTGCCATAGGAACGTGGGCAACTTTGAATTAATCTCTTCCATGTCTACTATCTTCGGAATTTAAGTGTTGTTTGAAATGTTCTAAATAAATATATTTTTTAATTTTTAATAAAAAAATGTATAAAAAAATAGAGAGGAGATTTTGATTGAAGTGATTCAAAAAAGATAAAAAGATAAATAATATAGACTTATTTAATCTTCCCAAACAAGACCTTAATAGATGTAGCTCCCATTCATTTTAAGGGGTGTATTTGAAATGATTTAAATAAGTACATTTTTTTACTTTTTATAAAAAGATATATAAAAAAATAGAGAAATAATATAACTTAGAAAAGATAAAAAATATACTTATATAACACACAACAAACAAGCTTTTAAAATTTGACTTCTCACTAGACGGAGAGAAGCATAGTTTGATCTAATTAGGAAATTTCACTCTACAATTTAAGTTTTAAATTTTGTTAGATCTCGTGTATAAGTCATTCATAAAGAAGGAAGAAAAAAGTATTCTAAGAGTTGTAGTCACAAAAACTAAAGAAAAAATCACCATGTTTAGTGAATTTTAAAATATTTTACGCAAATTTTTTTTATTTTTTAAATATACCTAATTTAAATACACATAAAATGTATAATTTTTGTATTTTTTAATAAAAAATTCACCAAATACAAAAATATATAAAAATTCAATAAATTTTAGTATTTGGTTAATGAATTGTTTAAAGATTTCTATACAATTTTTTTCCTTTTTAAGTATATTAAGATTAAGGGTTGGTTTGGAAAGTGGGTTGGCTTTTTGACTTTTTGACTTTTTTTGGTTATTTTAGCATGGGCTAAAAAGCTTAGTTTGAGAAGGGCTTTTTGGATTTTTGGCTTTTTTTGTGAGAGAAGAGTGTAATGATTATGGGTTGGATGTGATGTTTTGTTTGTTGTGGTTAAAATAGCCTATTTTGTCTTTTATGACTAAAATAGCTAAAAAAGTCCACAGGTATCTTCCCAAATGGAGCCTAAGTGACTCTAAATTTTTTTTTAAAAAAAATGACTAAAATATTTTAAAAAATCATTAAAAATATAAACATACGAATTAAAACTCAAAAAAATATTTTTGGAATTGAAGACTGAACAAAATGAATATAATTATGAGATCAATCAGATTTTACAAATGCTCTACTCAATAGAGACTTACAAGATGAATGATTCAGATCAATGAAATTAGACCTTTGGTGGGACAACATTGGACTTTTTTTCGATCAGCCAACATTGAACTTGACTTCCCAACGAGAAAAAAAAAAACCCCCTAATTTTACACTGTAGATTCAAATTCAAAAGGAAAAAAAAATGTAAACGCAACATTTTTCGTTTGCAATTTCTCTATCATGATTTTTTCAATTTTTATTTATTTATTTATTTTTTTATCACAACAAGATATGTTAGTAAAGATCATAATCCAACATATTAAGGTCTCATTTGGAAACATGCTAATAATTTTTTAACTTTTTAACTAAAATATGAACTAAAAAAAATTAGTATTTTTGAAATAACTTTTCGATTTTTTACGAAAAGATGTACAAAAAGTAGAGAAAAAAGAGAATTTTCAACTTTTTAGTATAAGTTATAGGCTTTTTGATTTTTTAAATAATTTTTTGACTTTTAGGCTAAAACATGTGTATCCGGAACGAGGCCTTAGACCTAAAATAAACTGATAATAAAATCACACATCTTAAAATGTCGTCGTTTTACTTTTAACTGAGCATTTTTATTCAAGGCCAAAAATTAGACTCACTTTTCAAGTCTAATAACGTGGCAATCAATTATAAGATATTAGAGATAACACTATCTCTTATATCTTCTGTAATTATCAACTAATCATATCACTTACACATAATTAAGTCTAGAAAATAATTTAAAAGTGAGTTTATATATCATTTTCTTAACTTTAAATATAGACAGTTGAATTATCACAACAAAATTAATATAAAGAGATTCAGTACAAAGAATACTCATCCTTTGTTTTGTATATTAAAACATTGACCACCAACCAAAACAAAAACTCTCCTCGTAGCGTGCATGGCGGCAGACAGGCGCAAAACACCCATATCTTCCATTCCACGCCACCAGAGAGCTCTTTTCCCTAACATTTTGAGCCAACCCATAAAAACCATTTTCAACTTTTCATCTCTTAGAACTTTGAACTCTGCTTTCCAATTTTGAGTTTCCCTAAGTATTGCATGTACCTCATAACCCATATTTTATATAGGAATGTGAATGTTAGAACCCTAGCTTTGACTTGAGTTTGGACTTTGAACTTTCTCTATAAAACCCCTCTTCTATTTCATATGTTTCCTCTCTTTTTGTTGTTGAACAACAAACATACTCAAAGAAGAAAGAATCGCCAAAATGGTGTCTAGAAGGTTTAGTAGCTTTGTACTTGGACTTGTGCTCTTGTTCCTAGCTCTGGTGGATTCTCTAGCATATACCCACCAAGGTAATTCGTTTTTTTTTTTTTTTTTTTTTCCTTTTAATAAAGAAAAAGATTTTGTTAAGGAGTGTTCTATCTTACATGAAAATCTAATCAGTTATATATATATATTTTTTACTTATTTTAGCAACCAAGAAAATCATGGCTAATGAAAATTCGTTCGTGAGACAAGGAGAGAGTCCCTCCACTATTGAAAAGGTATGATTATGGAGAAATTGCATTTCATTATCAATAATTCAAAATAATTACACTTTTCATGGTAGTGTAAGTGAGATTGTCTCTCTTACCACAATTTTCACTTAACACCAGACACCCACCCCCATGCACCTCCATGAAAATTGGCAACTTAAACACAATTTTCCCTAGAATTAAATGAAATTGTCTTTAGACACGTAGTGTCGACAGTGTCAAGCACTGATAATATCATTTTTAATTGATTCTTGTGTCGTTGTCTATGTAATAACCTAGTATGTTCTAATTCTAAGGAAAACATTCATGTCACAGGAAAACTTTGTTGCTGAGAAAAGAAAATTTGCAGGAAGAAAAATGATTGAGAAAAAGGGCAAGGGGAAAGAGGAAGGCAAGAATGGAGAAGGATCTTCAAAGATTTCAGGTGCAAACAGCTCTGTTGGAAATTGTAGTAGTCTTGATGATCATAAAGGGGAAGGACAGTTGAAAATAGAATGTAAAAAATTGAGTGTTAGAAGTAGTGTGAAAGTGGAGAAGATGGGAGATTTTGTGGCTTTCAGTGCTGACTATAATGTGCCAAAACCCCACCCACCTAAGAATAACTGATCAAGAAAGTGGAGATTGGGAGGTTTTTGTAGCTCTATTTTCTTTTTCTTTTTTTTGTTTCTATAGGATTTTCCTGAGAAAACTAGTGCGGATTATCATACTTGTATGTACGCAACAGAGATTTTAATGTTTAACAAAAAGAAATGTCATTCCTTGGTTATGTGGCGGATTTGTCTTCTGGAGAACTGATCAATAAAAAATATATATAAAAAAAAAAACTAAATGGATGTTTTGGGTCGCTAAAACAATTCTTCTACTTATACAAAAACAAATAACAAAATAGGGCATAATCTGCACCTCTTGGGTTATGTCTGATTTTTGTGATTAATTTCTGTGTTTTTAGAGTTTTTCTTGCTAAAATAGCTGGTAGTTTGTTGGGTTATGTTCATAGCTGTGACCGAAGTAGAATATGGCAATAGGGGCAAAAGATGGGTTATGGGTTAAATTTGAATACTAGTTTGTTTGGATGCAGGACGGAATGTGAATGTTTCAAAGAAGCCCCTTGGAGCTTCAGAAGAGCACATGCATGATCAGGTGTCTCTCTCTCTCTCTCTCTCTCTCTCTCTCTCTCTCAGTTTTGTTGTTAGAGATTGAACACAAAAACTAAACATAAAATCGGACATAGAAAACGCATGAATTGACAATAAAAACGGAACTGTAGATAGAATCGGTTTCAATTTCTTCAAAAGAAAGTCATGGGTTGAATTTTAGAATTAAAAAAAAACATATATATTGGATCTGGATAGTTAAAAAAAGCCCTTTCTTTTCTTTTTTTTGGTCGACTTTCTTATTTAATTACTATATATATACATGCACATAATGTATTTGGCCCTCAATATTCTAGCATCACACTTTGTATGAGAGAATTGTGTGGTTCTATTATTGAATCGCATTATAAATTTCTCTTCTCTAAGCATTTGATCTTGTTGTTTTCGTTTTCCACAGAATGATACAAACATGTCAAAGCCAAAGACTTTTACAAAATTTCAATCTGAAAAGCTTGATGATCATCAGAACCCTATAGAGATTGAGAACATAATGAACAAAGATTACTCAGGAGCTGTTATCCCTCATCCCAAGCCTCCAATCAACAATTACCAGCCTTTGCATCATCATCAACACAAAGTGTTACCCTAAACTTGGTTTTGTACTTCACAATTTTGGCTCTGCAAGAAGAGAATGTTCCATGGTATAGAACTACTAACCATATTAGTTTTGTTTTTGGCTAGCTAAATAAAAAAATAAGATGTTACTGCAAGTGTTTTTGTTCTCACATGGGAGATATATATTGTGCGTGAATTACATGTGTTTATGTTGCGATTCTAACTCGTTCCACACTAGTAAAGTGAGAGCTTGTTCATGTGAATATAAGTCTCTTGGACATTATTCTTTTATATCAGCTTTCAAGGTGAATTCTATCAAATGGTTCTATATCATTTGGTATCAAAGTATGGGATAAGATGAGTTGAAATTTTATGGAATACTGGTAAGTGAATGAAACTTATGTTGAGTCTGGGATCATATGAGTTGCAGTTTTATCAAGGAGAAAAGTTAGGGATGATGAAATTTTTTTCATAAAAATGATCATGAAAGATTTATGATCCTTTGATTAGTGTGTGGTGTTTTATTCTAAGTGTAATTTAAGGGTCACAAAATTTTCATGATTATTTTCATGAAAAGTTTTTTCATGATACCTAACATTACTGTTTATCAAGTACCGATAATTGAGTGAAACCGCCATTAAAGAAAAAAAGGTTCCCACGTCAAGCCTTATTTTCACAACACATGTTTACCTTGAGCAAGTTCTTTTTTTCCTTGCTAAAAACATAAACATAAATGCCGTGTGTGAAATGGAAACAAAGGGCTCCCATTTCCTTAAAATGAAATCTTGAAGAAGAGGATATCGATTTTTTTTTAGATGACACCTGATATCTTTGACATGTCCAAGCAGTATTTACATTTGCATTTAGAAAAGTGTATGAAACCAGAATAAACAATCAGAGTTTGTGCTAGATTCTAGACGTATAGCATATATTCAAAGCAGTATTTATATTTAGAAAATTCTATGAAACCAGAATAAGTAATGAAAATTTGTGTCAAATTTCATATGTACAGTGTATATTTTATATTTTTGTTGTGGGGTCATTTCAGGAATGAATCTGAGCCATTGATTCAAAATTTTAAGTAAATTGATGTTTTGGTGGATCATAGGAGCAAAAGTCAGATGGCCTTGTCAATTATGCAAAGCATATATCGAAATTCGAAATTTGTCTGTCATACAAAGTTGCACATCAAAGCACTCATTTAACAAATTGGTTTATTTTTGCAGAATTGGGAAGTTTGTGTAACTTATTAGGCTATGATGCCATCTTATATTATGCTCTAATACTATTTTTTGGGGGTTAAAATTAAGTTATTATGTGTTAAATAAAGCAATTTTATCCCAAAAAGACTCTCTAACGGCATGCCAAAAAATGATATTGACACATGATTTGGTAATGTCATTTTTGCCAGTTAAACTCATTTGAGAGAAATTTTTATTTAGGCCTAGTTTGGATAGACTAAATAAGTGTACTTTTTGACTTTTTTTGTATTATGTGTAGAAAAAGTAGAGAGGAGATGTTGATTGATGTGACCCAAAAAAGATAAAAAGATGAAATAAGTGCACTTTTTCCTTTGTAGCCAAACTTGGCCTTAATGTTCTGGATGCAAGATATCCAACAGATTAATAATTTGAATGTGTTAAAATAACATTTACATTGTTAAAACAATATTATAAAACATGTCAAATTATAACAATGACATGACAATGAGCACGGAAATTGTTCTTAAAAATATTTATAAAACTATCCATTTAATAGGGTACTTGTACAACATCGACGTGATTCACTTTAGCCTTCGTTTGGGAAGTGGGTTGGCTTTTTAACTTTTTGACTTTTTTGGCTATTTTAGCATGGGCTAAAAAACTTGGTTTGAGAAGGACTTTTTGGCTTTTTGGCTTTTTTGACTTTTTTTGTGAGAAAAGAGTGTAATGATTATGGGTTGGATGTGATGTTTTGTTTATTATGGCTAAAATAGCCTATTTTGTTTTTTATGGCTAAAATAGCCAAAAAAAGCCCAACCAACTTCTTCCCAAACGGTGCCTTAATAAATTTACAGATAAAATTATTGATGCCTGTGGGCTAAGGTTGTGTTTGGCATGTCTATTTGGATTAAAATAGTCATACACGATAAAATTGATTATTTTTGTCAAATTAGATAAAATGTCACATTCAAGATATAATCATTTCATTTTTTTTCTCATAAAAATTAAAAAAGTCAAAAGCTTATTACAAATGAGACTTTTTTGTTTCAAGCTAAAATAGTCAAAAAGCTAAATCACATCTCAAATATAGGCTAAGGCCTCATTTGGCAACATCACTTTTTAGTCAAAAAGTCACTAAAAAAATTCAAAAAGCCAACAACATATATCAAAAAATCAAAAATTTTATTTTCTCTACTTTTTGCACATTTTTTTATGAAAAATTAAAAAGTCATCCTAAATATACGAATTTTTTTTTATATTAAATTAAAAAATTACTAAAAAAGTATGTTTCCAAACGAGCCTATGTCTACATAGCAACTGTGATTTTTACAAAATGGTCAATAAAATTATAAAATTACTGTATTTCATGCACCTAAAGGAATAGTCTTACAAGATTTTCCATAAAGCTGGATCTTTGCTTGTTAAATGTCATTACAACAACCCATTCAAAATTTTAAAACTATTGCACCAAAAACAAACAAAAAAAAATCAAAAACTATTCTTGTGTAAATTACTAGCTTTTATTAAGCTCTCGAAGCTGCTTAACTAACTCATCTAAATCTCTGGTTGAGCTTCCTCCTTTCACTGCATTCCACGCCGCGTCACACAGCTTCTGAACTCGGCTTCTCTCAGGCCGAGTCCCGCTCACTGACTCGGCCAGCAACCGAGTCAACTCGTCCAAGTCCGGAGCATTTTTGGGCCCCCCTTCACAAACGCGAACCGCCACACCAAGTTGATCCACCAGCAACTTGACATCGGTGAATTGGTCAGCCGCCAACGGCCAAGCGAGCATCAACACGCCGGCAGCCACCCCCTCCAATACCGAGTTCCACCCACAATGACTCACAAATGCGCCCACCGCTCGGTGACTCAGTATCGCCACTTGTGGGGCCCACCCCCTGATTATCAAACCTCTACCTTCCACACGATCTTCGAAGCCATCCGGAATCAAACCAATATCACCTGCCCCGTGTCCTTGATTGACTGCCTTGCCACACCAAATGAAATGGACCCCACTCTGCTTTAGCGCAGCCGCTAGTACTTCCGTTTGCTGACTTGTCAACCCGAGACGACTCCCAAAGCACACGTAGACAACCGAGTCATCCGCCTTCCCATCAAGCCACGTCATTACCTCGTGAGCTGGCACCGCACTGGACCCACCGCGGTCAGTGGGTCCCACTTCATCGGGTGGTGGCAGCAAGGGTCCGAGTGCCCAAACCCGGTCGTGACCCATTTCTTTCTTCACGTGATCGATGTAAACCCGTTCCAACTCAGTGAACGAGTTGAACACGACGCCCCAACTCAGGTTATTAGCCAACATACAATTTCTAAGAAATTCATGTTCTGGATCTCCTTCGTTGAAATTACGGCAATAGGGGATTATTTGCCACCAGGGGTATTTCGGAGTATTCGGAATTTCCGGGAAAGAAATCAGAGAATTCTCATTGGTCGGATCATCGCTCTTGGGTAGGTTGCGCCACAGGGAATTAGAAACCGAGGCCGTGAAAGCTGCGGAAGGCCAGAAAGTGACACGTGGCACGCCGAGATGGACGGCGAGGTCTTGTGTCCAGCCGAGAAAGAAATCAGATACGATCGCCACAGGGGGGTTAGGGTGGGATTTGAACCATTGGAGGATAGGATCGTGTAGTTCGGCGGAGGAGCGTACTACGGTGGGGAGGCGGAGATGTGGGGGATCAGGAGGAGAGAGAAGCAAGAGTTTGACGGCGGAGGAGGGATGGCGGGAGAGGAGGGGGTGGAGGAGAGGGGTGGGGGGGATTAAGACGGTGACGGTGAGGTGGCGCGTGAGGAAGAGGTGAGTGAGGTCGAGAAGGGGGATGATGTGACCCGGCGCTGGGAAAGGGTAGACGAGGATGTGTACACCGCCGGCGCCTCCGTCCACGGCGGCGGAGGAGTTGGGCTGAGACATTTTATTAGTAGTGGTTTTGTTTTCACTGAAACAATGCAGGTGCTTATTTATTTTTAAAGTCAGATTGACTGGATTCGCTGATTCGTTGTGGTTGATTTTGAAGCTTTGGTGACTGTTTGTTGGGTCGAGTTTTTGCGTCATGCCTTACGACAAATGGGTTATGAATAAATAAAAAAATAAAATAAAATAAAACGATTACGTGATTCAAATAAATTAATAATCGAAGAAATGAATAAGTTAGCTTTTTTTTTTCTAGTTGCTAAAATAAACCTAAGGCTGCTACTTCTGATCCATAATCTAAATATTATTTTGATAATTTAAATAGTTTATTTTATAAGATTTTTTTACGTATATCATTTATGAAAAAAATTAAATTAATTTAACAATTATAATATTTTTATTTTATTAGTATATGTTTATTTTTAAAAATACACTCATCATTTATTTTTTAAAATTACAATAATAAAATAAATAAGTTATGATTATTAGAACGATTTAATTGTTTTTATGAACGATATATATTAACTTAAAGATTCTATAAAAATAAATTACATAAATTATTGTAATAAAATAATATGTGTAATAAATTTTACAAGTTTATAAACAATACTTTTCAATCCGGATGAGCAATGGAGATAAGCCCAACCCTTCTTTAACGGTGTCTCTGTATGTTACTCTTTGTGTATCCTGTGTATGAATTTGCTTCTCAATTCCACTAGCAATTTTGCAAAACAGGACTGCCATTGTTATATATGTTAGGATCAAAGACACCCAGAGAATTATCTCACACACACAGAGAACACAATATTTACGTGGTTCCGCCCAATGCCTACATCCACGGACAGAAATGAGAATTATCACTAAAATGGAGCAAAAATACAATTACAGAGGAGGAGATGAAACTCACTCAACTCACAGCTCTCACTCTCCAATTTCTGATGATACAAACCTCTCCTCACTCATCTCAATTTATAACCAAGAGAGGAGGAGTAAGTAAAGTGCTAGCCATAATTGGCCAAGGTAGTGCCACCCTCACTATCTTCCTTTAGTGAGTTGGTGTAGCCCTCCACCACCTTCTTTTACAACATGGTGCTACCTACACTGTGTGAATGGTGGGCTCATTACCATGTAGGTAGTGGATGGAGCCAACAATTCTCCCCCTCCACGCCCACATGGACAACTGACTTCTCAGCTTGGACTGCCAAGACACAGCTCCCCCTGATTGGATGCCCTGTACCCCCTGCTCGGGATACCCTTGCATTACCGTGCAACTCCTTGCATGATGAACACGGGAGCAACTAGAAAACTTCAGAGTGTGACACATCAACATCCTCAATTTTCCTTGCTCGGAGCTTATTTCTGAACAACCAGCCTTTGCTTTCTGCACTTTAGAACAACTTCCCAGCGATCTCATACGCCCGTTGTCTGTGCTGCAATCCCTGATGTTCGGTTCAGTCTCACTTGTACGTCCGTACTGATGTTTGACAGTTAGCCCTTCTGCCAAGACAACTTCCATCGGTCTGTACAAGTTATCACTATGCAACTCCGTGCATAGTGCTCGCACCCATGGCTTCTGGTCTCCCTGCGTCAAGCTTGCTTGAGAGATCTGCATCAACTCTATCATCTGCTGCCATGGAACTAAAGAAACCACCATAGAGAAATAAGACTTGCCACTCCTTGGCACGCACTCTTGCGTTTTACCTGTCTCAATTTCTCTGTCTGGAAGTTCCTGTGAACTGTCAACAACCCGCTGCTGCACACTCTTCTCGCGCCTCTGTACGACACTCTAGCGTACCCTTGCACTGTTGCACGTCTGCAATTGTACTTCTGCGCTTAGTATGCTCCTCTACAACTATTGTTCTACATGTCCACATACCATTGAGCCACCACCTGATGACCTTCAGCTCTTGCTGTGTTTTGAAATCCCATTGACTTGGCTATAAACCCATCTCCAATTGCAGCTGTGCAATAATTAATCCCAATCAATATTCATCAATCAAAAAACACACTACTATATATCTCTTATTACGTGATCCTCTTGATCACAGTAAAAACACCTCCTCGTGTTGTCCTGTCTGGACTGTGAACGCCCTCTGCTTTTACTTCTTCCTCTACCTCTGCCTCTTTCTCTATCTCTGCCTCTACTTTCTGTGACAAGGGCATGGGACTGCTCTCCTTCCATCTCTTTCTTCCTTGCCTCCTCGTTGAATAAGGCGTCTGTGACCATCCCCATGGTCAGCTTCCCTTCGGGTGCAGAATTACTGAGAGAAACCACCAACGTCTCCCAGCTGTCTGGTAAGGAACTGAGTAATAATAATGCTTGCATCTCATCCTCCAACTCCATTTTGATTGATGCAAGCTGGTTCACAAGGCTGTGGAATTCACTGGTGTGTTCAGCAACAGACACACCATTCTTCAGCTTCAGGTTTATAAGCCTTCTCATTATCAAGGCTTTGTTCTGTGCGGTCTTGGACTGGTACATGCCCTCAAATTTCATCCATAGGGCATATGCGTCTGTCTCTTGGGCAACATGGTGGAACACACTGTGGTCAATCCACTGTCTGATTTGACCGACAGTCTTCCGGTTGGTTTTTATCCAGTCCCCATCCTTGTCTCCATCTGGTTTGACCCCCTTTAGCGCTATAGGGTCAAACAAATCTCTACAATACAGGACGTCCTCCATCCGCGGCTTCCATATCGCATAATTAGAAGCGTTCAACCGTATCATCGGCCCTGAAACTGATGTGGATTCCTCCATCATCCAGAAAGTAATCTCTGTTTGAAAAACAGGCTTTGCTGTGAAGTTCGGACGGCTCAAATTAGCCGGAAAAGCACTTCGGATTGCCAAAATAAAAACTGCAAATTTTTGAAAGCTTATTTGAAAAATACGACCGTACGGATGTGTCCGAAATATTCCAAATAGTTGGAAAGCACTATTGGATCACCCAAATCGGACATCAAATGGCTTAGATGAAGCCAAAACAATTTTAACGGTTCAGATCGGCAGAATCTAGTGCGCCTGCGAAGCACCAGATTACTCCTCCGGTTCTGCTGACGTCAGGCTGACGTCATCGGCTCAGTCAGCGGCTTGGTCAGCGGCTCCGGCTCGGTCAACGCGGCTCCGCCTCGGGCGGCTTGGTGCGCGCGCGTGTCGCGCGTGCAATCACGTGTCGTCTTCCTCTGTCCGCGCGTGGAGCGTGTGGGTGAGACTGGGATCACGCGCCGGGTGCCTGAACGGCGCGTGGAGGCGCGTGTCACGACTGGGATTCACGCGCCAAATTCCAGGGGCGCGTGAGCGTGCGTCCGGCCTCCGTTGGGTGTCTGCTTTATATTTCTGGACTCCTCTCGTCGAGCCCTTGCTCCTAGTATGCTCAAAAATTGATTTCGAGCAATACGATTTCTGGGCAGTTTCGAACAACACGCTGTTTTTGTTCTGAAACGCCACCAACGAGGCTCTGATACCACTTGTTAGGATCAAAGACACCCAGAGAATTATCTCACACACACAGAGAACACAATATTTACGTGGTTCGGCCCAATGCCTACATCCACGGACAGAAATGAGAATTATCACTAAAATGGAGCAAAAATACAATTACAGAGGAGGAGATGAAACTCACTCAACTCACAGCTCTCACTCTCCAATTTCTGATGATACAAACCTCTCCTCACTCATCTCAATTTATAACCAAGAGAGGAGGAGTAGGTGAAGTGCTAGCCATAATTGGCCAAGGTAGTGCCACCCTCACTATCTTCCTTTAGTGAGTTGGTGTAGCCCTCCACCACCTTCTTTTACAACATGGTGCTACCTACACTATGTGAATGGTGGGCTCATTACCATGTGGGTAGTGGATGGAGCCAACAATATATCATCGATTTTGAACAGTTTTTCTTTGGTCTAATTACTAACAATCATCAAAGTTAAGAGACAAATTTGAAATTTCAAAATTGTTGTATGTATTCACATTCGCTAACAAATTAAAATGTTCATTTTGCTTTTAAATCTAAACTCAAACCCAATCTATTCTTAAAACTATCCCCATCTTCGAACTTATTCCTATGCTCGCCTAATCTAAAAAATTACTTTCAAATTGAATAAAAAAAAATTACAATTATACATCATTGTTGAAGGGGAAGAATTGTGAATCAGGACTAAGGCAATTATCAGTGGGAAAAGAGTATGAAAAAGAAAGAAAGGTGAAGAGAATAAATAAAATAGTTTTAGTCAAAAGCTTAGGGAAAAAAAAATTCAATGTTAATAGTAAAAAATCATATTATATATATATATATTAATTAATCTTTTTATCATAATTATTTATTTAACTGAAAAAATAATCCAAACATATTAATTTTTTTCACTATATTTGGTTTAATTTTCAAATTTTGTTTTTAAAGTAATTTTTCTAAAAAACTAAGAATTATTTTGCTAACAATGAAAAAATCAAAAACACTTTTAATTTTTTACATAGTTTTTTCTTTTTGGTAAACATAAACAATTTCTAAAAATTTTAAAATATATTTTTAATATTTATTTTTGTCAAACTAATCGCTATTTTTTCAACAAAAATTAGAAAATTGTTTTAAAAAATCAAACCAAACATGGCCTTTATCTCATAAAAAAGTCAAAAAATTATTAAAAATGTCAAATTTTCAAATGGGCATTTAGGTGGTGTTTGATAAAAATGAAAATTAAAACTGAATACTGAATTTTTTAAGTTAAAAAATTATTTGATAAAAAATTACATGTTGAATTAAAACAAATTGTTTAATATGTACAAGATCAAATTTAATTTTTATTTATTTATTTTCAAACTATATATCTTATAATTTTTATATTGTGATGGTGAGTTGGTAGTGGTAGAAGAGGTAGCGGAGGTGTTAGTTATAGCGCTAATATCAATAATAGTGGAGATTAAGGGATAGTGATTACAACGATGGTAAAAGAGTAATATTATGGAGATAAATAATAATAACAAAAAAAAAAGAAAAAGAAGTGAAAGTGGTAGTGGAATGATAATGGTAGTTGTGATACCGGTGACAATAATTGTTTAG